AGCAAAAAAAAAAAAAAAAAAAAAAATATGAACCCCATTTATTTTCTCTATTTGAAACACCAAGACAACTTGTTCAGATGCTCTTTTTGGTGTCCTTTGCGCTTTGTTTGGCACAAGAGCATCTTTTATAAATTGTCTACTTTTATTCTTTTCTCATTAGTAGGCAACGATGAACAGAGCTCTATTCAATGCCACTGCAGTGGTAAACACCTACATAAGTGTGGTCACTGCAGCCATGGAGCAAGCAGATCATTTGTCAAGTGGTTGGCCAGATGATATAGAATATGCTTAAGCTAATAAGAAATAAATACTGTATTACTACTTTCCCAGAAAATCTGTAGTTTCAAGAATTCATAACTGCAGACCCCCTATCTGACCCTGGGTAGAAATACTGTTCTACAGGTTGATTCAAATCCCATCTGCCTACTTCTGATGCCTTCATTCTTCCATTCCCTGTCTCTAGACAAAATTGCCTTCGGTTCTTGGCTCACATTATGCTATTTCTTACCTTTGTTCTTGCTGTTTCTTCAGCCTGGAGCCCACTTCCTTACGGGAAGCCCTTTCTATACTCTGGGCTTGAGTAGATAGATGCCCTTTCACTATGGTCCCCAAATATCCAAGGTGTATCTCTATGATTGCTTATGATTTATCTTATTGTATCATAATTGTATTTAAATTATCTTCATCCATTACCAGACTGTGAAATTCTTAAGGTAAGGACTATGCCTGATTCAACTCTGTATGTGTGGGACTTAACTCAGTGCCTGGCATATAGCCAGTCCTCACATGTTGGTGAGTGAATGAATGAATGAGTCAGCGGTACCTGCCGGTCTGCCAGATCGATCTTGTTCCCCAGCACCACCATGGGGTAGGACTGCTCCATTGGAATGGTTTTGGCCAGAACATCACCCCTCCAGGTTTCCAGGGCTTCAAAGGTCTCCAGGTCAGTGACATCAAAAGCCAGAATGCAGCCATCAGAGCCTTTGTAGAAGGTAGACACCATGGAGCGGAATCGCTCCTGTCCTCCTGTGTCCCAGATCTGGAGGGGAAGAACAGAGGCTCCATGAGGCTGTGATGAGTGGCTGAAGGTATGCCCAAACAGGTCACATCATGTCAAAGCTTCCTTTTCTGGGTAGGGGGAAGATAAGCCCTGGCACAGGTGCACGAGATCCTTTCACACACGGGCATCACACACCCTGTCACCCATGTACACTGAAGAATCTCTGCACTAATATTTAACATCCCAAGAGTATTTTCACATCTGAGTCCTCATTTTCCACCTGGGGCATCAGGACAGGCATTGTTCTTCCACCTGATAGATTTGGACCTTGGGAGTGACTTGCCCAAGTCCACTTGGCAATTTTTTCAGGGAACCTGAGCCTTAGGGTGGGGCCTCTTAATTCTGGATTAGTGCTCTTCCTTCTAGATCAGGGATCAGCAAATTTTTCCATAAAGGGACATATAGTAAATAACGTAGGCTTTGCAGACTATACACCGTCTGTTGTCACTACTCAATTCTGCTGTTGTACTGTGAAAGCAGCCAAAGAGACCGTGAGTAAACAAACGGGCAGGGCTGTGTTCCAATAAAACTTTATTTTCAAAAGCAGGTGGTGGACCAGATTTGGCCCATGAATTAAACTTTGCTGATCTATGCTCTAGACTCTTCTAGCTCCTGGTGCACATTGCTGTGTGAGTGGCCATCCAGGGAATGTGGGGTCATATTCAGGTGTGTATTTTGAAGAGGGAATGAGAGGGCGGCTCACCTGTAGCTTCAAAGTTGTGTCATCCAGTATGATCATCTTGGAGAGGATGCTGGCTCCCAGTGTGGTCTGATAGTCCTCGTAAAATGTCTTGTGCACGAATCGGTGGAGGAGGGAAGTCTTTCCAACACTAAGGAAAAAAACCCAGACACATGTGGACACACAACACATACACATATCCATATCTTTCTCAACGTCTTACCATGACCCTCTCACCACCGTCTCTCTCTGAGATTTTGAATTTCTAACATTTGCAGTTTGAGTAGCTTGCTAATACTAGGGAATGGACACTAGAAGCAGAGAAGTTTGCAGAGAGCTGAGTGCCTCACAGCAAAAGGGTCAGGTCTTTCCTGTATGTGGCAGGAGGTAGGAGGGCAGAGAGATGCTAAATGGCTTGCCTAATTCACATACCTAGTTACTGCAGAGTTAACCGCAGAGCCGGGGTCAGAAACCAGGTAGCCTGACTCCCAGTCTCTTTCTCCCATCTCAGCTCCCTTCCCTGGGGTGGAATGCCCTCCCTGGTGCCACTCTGAATCAGAAAGGGACCCATGCAAGGTGGGAGCACATACAGGACGTCTCACTGTTCTTGGGTAGGGGCTTCGTCCCAACCCCCAGACCCCGAGCTGAACTTGGCTACCCCAGGGCTCCGATGATGATGAGCTTGAGGTCCACCTTCTTCCGAGGATTCATGGAGGGGCTTCAGAGCCTGTAGGGAAACAGAGGTCATCTACATGCTGGCCAGAGTAACCCTGTGGCCATTGTCACTGGGGCTGGTCTCTACTTTCCCCTGTCATGTGCAGAACTCTGCCCTGGGATCAGATGGGGTTGTTCTCCAAAAGAGGCGGATGACTCAGCAACCCTTACACACCCACCTCCTCACTCCCCCTGGGAGTCTCCCTGAGGCTGGAAGGATGGTGGCCCCGCCCTGTAGGACAGGCACACCTCTTACCTTTCAGCTCTACCAACCCCGTGGAGCACCAAGCCTGGATTGGACTGAACAGAGGCCTCTCAGACAGCCTCTGTTCCAAGCCTGGAGCCAGGGATGGAGGGAAGAGGAGATGGGGGTGGGACAAGGGGTCCATTGTTAGGACTGCTGAGAGGCTTTGGATGGAAGAGTGGCCTTCCTTCAGCCCGAGGTGTTGCTGCATTGGCAGAATCAAAAGGCTCTTCTCTAATGCAGCTGGTGGGGGTGTAACTGGTACATGTTTCTGGAAAGCTGCTTGGCAGCAAGTATTGAGAGCCTTAAACATGTCCCTGCCCTCCACTTCTAGGAATTTGTCCTAAAAAAATAATCTGAAACGCAGGCAAAGACTCTTGTTCAAGAATGTTCTTTCCCAGCGTCATTTATAAACATCCAACAATAAAGAAAAAAAAATCATGGCACACGATGAACTATTAAGCAGTCATTAAAATAGAGTTTATGAGCATATTATAATAACGTGGGAAAATGCTTATGCCATAGGATCTAAATGAAAAACAGAAGACACTAAACTGTACATACCATACCGCCCCCCCAAGTATTGAAATGAATTCCTACTTGCATGGAAAAAGATCTAGAAAGAAATATATAAAAAACGTAAGTGGTTAATTCTGGGTGGTAGGAAACTATGATTTTAATTTTGTTCTCTATACTTTTTAGTATGTTCCAATTTTTTTTAACAACAAACATGTCAAACATGTATTGTTCCTATAAGAGAAAAATACTTGTATGTATGTTTTATACATATAAATTATATATGTATATATATTGTGATTATTAACAAGATAAAGCAAAACTGTCTCAGGGAATTATGCTTAACTGGCTCTCTGGTTCTACCCTTACGTGCACACACATATATACTATTCCCAACTCCTGGGTCTTCTGACCTTGGATGCGGTAGATGTATTGAGTTAACCTTGATCTGACTCTGCCTGGTTGAGGTAGCAAAAGTTGGCCAGCTTGAACTTGCCTGGTACCGGGAAAAAGCTCTCAATTGGATGTCCTGAGGTTTTGGTTCTAATTCTCACCTTGCCACTGTGTGACCCTGGGCCAGTTACTTCCCCTCTTTGAGTCTTGGCTTTCCAACTAGAGGATGAGCCATCTGGGCCCCAAAGACCCAAGGCCCCTTCTGGTTGAAAAATGCTTTATCTACTGGAGTGTAACTCACTGGGCCACGAGAGCCTTGCCCAGGGCAAAAGACAAAGCAAATAGGAGCCCACTCCAGGGAGTCATCAGGGGAGAAAGGAAAGGGGTGAGTGATTACAACAGAGAGAAAATGTAAAGTGCCCCGACAGAGGCCCCAAGAAACTGCTGTGAGAATTCAGGGCTGGGGGAGAAGCTGCCAATCCAACTGGGCCCTGAGGAAATGGCATGTGTAGTTGGGGGTGATATTTCCAAGGAGGAAATGAAATATCAAAGCTCTGGGAACAGGGGAGTGGAGAAGGTGGATGGTTTGCTTCAGGGAAGGGTGAGGTGAAGAGGGTGGAGAGAGAAAAGCCTAGAAAGGAAGCAAGATTAAGATGGGTCCGTGAATACAGACCAAGGATTCTGTCATTCATTTATTCATTCGTCAAACATTTCCCACGCTTCAGACAGGCAGAGGAAGAGAATTCAAAGTATTAACAGGGGCTGGTATTTTGTAATGGGTGTCACCGCCCACAAGGAAACCAGCCAAGGGAGAAGTGACTCAGAAGCTTCTGAAAGGCATGTGTCTCTAAGCATCAGTTACCAGTCGGGAAGGGGAGCAAGGGTGAACTCTTTCCTAAAGGCTTTGGTACAACCCGCTAACTTAGCCTCAAAAGCCAATAGAGGGGCTTCCCTGGTGGCACAGTGGTTGAGAGTCCGCCTGCCGATGCAGGGGACGCGGGTTCGTGCCCCGGTCCGGGAAGATCCCACATGCCGCGGGGCGGCTGGGCCCGTGAGCCATGGCCGCTGGGCCTGCGTGTCCGGAGCCTGTGCTCCGCAATGGGAGAGGCCACAACAGTGAGAGGCCCGCGTACCGGAAAAAAAAAAAAAAAGCCAATAGAGTGCCCTGGAAAGGGAGTCAGAACAAAAGGGAGGCAGGGGAAGTGGGAAGGGAACCATTATTGGCTGAGCACCTGCAGGGGCTGCTCTGTAGGGCTTAGGAAATCATGAGCTATGAGATGAGTACAACAGGGGCTCAGAGAAGCCAGGTCACTCATAACTCATCTAAGGCCCCACAGGTAGTATATGGATGAGTTAATGTGTGAGTCAAAGGCCAGAGAAGGCTGCTCTGTGCCATGTTGCCCCCTGACGTCCTGAGTTTGAACCGTAGAATCTGTGTGCACAGGACCTAGGGCACTGGGCTCAGGTTTGGTGAACCCCAACAAAACCCTGGTAGAGCTGTAGGGGATCGAGAGAAAGGCAGCCAAAGTGACAAGAGCCACAGTGGAAGCCAAGGGAATGGGCTGCTGAACAGGAGCTGTCATGTGTGGACTGACCACAGGGGTCAAAAGAGCATCCTGAGGCAGAGGGGAGCAGATTTACACGTTACCATGTGGAGTTGTCAACGCTCACACTATAAGCTAAGGTTTACTCACATGGTGGTGGTGTAGAGCACTTTGCGAATATGCAAATAAACATATCATCAGGAGGTTAATAAATGAATACATTATTATACTACATTTAACACACATAGTACATTATTATAATGCATTTATGGCACAAATTAAGGGCTCAAGAAACGTTAGCACACAGAAATATCTTGTGGGATTGATACTACTCTTATCTCTGTTTTACCACTGAAGAAACAGGTGTTTAGAGAAGTTAAGTATGTAGTTCATCTCTAAAAGCACGGTCTGTAAGTGGCAGAACTGGGACTTGAATACAGGCCTGACTCCAGAGAGATCACACTCTTAGCTGCTAGGTCCTACTTACTGCCTTCTGTGAAACTAGAATGAAGATCACAAACCCTGCCACTTGGTGCCCCTGTCGGAGAGTCTGGGGGGCTGGATGGTTTGGGTTTGACATGGTGCAGCAGAGCTGGTGTGCGTATGAAGGGAAAGCTGGGGTTGAGGGCGGGGTAGGTGGAAAGTGTATGCGTATGACAGAGGATCAATATCCACTATGTGTAAAGGACTCTACAGACAATCAAAGACAACACAGAACATAAAAGCGGGCAAAGAATACGAATAAGTAACCAGTAGAGATCTTATAAATGATAAGTAGTAACCTTTGGGAGACACTTAAACTTACTAATTTTTAAGGACATGCAAAGTTAAAAAATACCACCTTTTTACCCACCAGAGTGGCAAAAATTCAAAAGATTGATGATAATATTTAGTGTTGACAAGTGGGTGGGGGAAAACTCTTGTTTACTGCTGATAGAGTATGAATTGGCACTGTCTTTTTTGGAGGGCAGTTTGACAGTATCAAAATTTAATATGCATATACCCTAGATTCTAATTCTAGGAGTCTATCCAACAGAAATACACATATGCTCAAACATACATTTTTACAAAGATAATTGCTGAAGAACATTGTAACCTAAATGTCCATCAATAAAAGACCCTTGGCATAAATTATGATCCATACCTACTCTGAAATACTAGGCAGTTTTTAAATGAGTGAAGTAATGAAGTGGAAAAATATGACAATTTAAGTGAAAAAAAATCACTGAACATTTTGTATAGTATGATCCCAATTGTATAAAAACAACAACCCTATGTGTGTATGACTGTATGTTTAATATTCTATATATGCTTGTCCTGCAATACATAGAAAGCTATGGATAGATACATACTAAATGATTAATAGGAGGTGGGGAAAAGTAGATTAGAGGCAAGGAGCTATTGTTTTAATTTATATATGTCTTGTGTTAAAATTTGTTACACAAGTCTAAGTTGTTATTGTAATTAAAAATATCAAACAGGGCTTCCTTGGTGGCGCAGTGGTTAAGAATCCGCCTGCCAATGCAGGGGACATGGGTTTGATTCCTGGTCCGGGAAGATCCCACATGCCACGGAGCAACTAAGCCCGTGATCCACAACTACTGAAGCCCATGCACCTAGAGCCCGTGCTCCGCAACAAGAGAGGTCACCGCAATGAGAAGCCCGTGCACCGCAACGAAGAGTAAACCCCGCTCGCCACACTAGAGAAAGCCCACGCGCAGCAACGAAGACCCAATGTAGCCAAAAATAAATACATAAATAAATTAATTTTTTAAAAATTTAAAAAATAAAAAAAGCCTGGTGAGGACTTTTCAGTGTATGTGGCATGAAGTCCAGTTTCCTGGCTTAAACATACATACATATATATATATATATATATATATATATATATATATATATATGAAAATAAAGACAACATTTCTTTATAAAGAGCAGGTGGAAGGATGGCAGCCCAAAGACATCTGAGTGTGACTTCCTGACAGGACAAGTCACTTTTGTGTCTGGGGTAGGAGAGAGAGGCCTCCTGGGACTCTGGAGTGATCATGAGTTTTGGAGTCAGAGTTTTCATTCCACCTCCATATATTTGTGACCTTGGGAGAGTTTCTTAACCTTGGTGAGTCTGTTCCCTTGTGGGTAAAATAGAAATCACTCGTGGCTGTGGCTGATTCTGCAGTGTGGCATGTGTCATGTTCTTAGAGCAAATCGGAAAGACCTGGTTAAACAGTTAAACACGGTGGGGGGCAGATACCTGATCTGTAGTGCCTGCCACTTTCTGTGGTGTAAATACTCCCACTGTGGCT